AAAAACAAACATGAAAAGTTTCTTTGCTTTGAGGTGTAATTTTTTTAATTAGATTTTAACGAAGAGTGAAGTGTTATTTTTTTTGATAAAACAATAACACTTCACTCAAACAAAGTTTAAAATTTCAAATAGATTAATGGAATATTAATTACACAGATAGAATAAGAAAATAATAAAGTTTTTGCTGCTGTAAAAAAAATAAATCTCTTTAACAATTTTATTTTGTTATTTTATAATTCTTATTTTATTTTTTCCAAATCATTATCATAGAATTGTAAATACTTTTAAGTATTTGTTTGAATGATTTGTAAACAATACATTTTTTTAGTTGAGTTTTCTAAATTTTCATCATCAACTATTTATTCACCTGTCTATCATCCTAGAACAGTTGCTAATATCAGGTGATTATTAATTATTTTTTTTTAAAGTACATTTGGTAAGATTTACTTAGCGTATTATATTTTGTAGGATTTATTAAATTTAGTTAGCAACCAGTAAAAATGACAAAAAAGATAAAAAGCCACTAAAAAGTGACGATTCATTTGCAAATTTAAATTAGTTTCCGTTTATTTAGATATAACATGTAGTTATTTACAATAATATAATTTAATATATAACACAATATAAAATTATATATCTATAATATATAATTATTTGTGTTCATTTTTAGTACTGTCTTGGTTTTTAATTAATAACTTATAAAGATTACATGACATCAGTTTTTAAGTTACTTTTTAAAATCACTTATAGCAGCACCACAAAAGATAAAATAAATACAGCCAGCAAAACAAGAAAAAAACATGAAAATCTTTCATTGTATTATTATATATATACAGGCCTCGGCAGGAAGCAAGAACTTTAGCTCTCGCCTACACTCCCCTAAAACAGTTTACGGTAGCAATTTTACTTATAGGTGAATGTCTCAATATACCCAAGATACTAGCCTTACTCAATCAGGCTGAAGGGTAAAAAAATACGGAATTTAAAAAAAAATGAATAACTTGATTTTAATGCTATAAAAAATAATCAGCCATCAAACATTGGAAATTAAATGAACCAAAAAAGTTCTAGGAAATGTTCAAAATGATTGAACAAATGCAAAAATTTTAAATGGCTAATGCAAAAATTTAATGCTAAAGCCGGGTGTGTCTTGTATGCTTGTCAAAAAAAAAGAACACATAGCAACTGTACTTTTGTACCTTAAAAAAGTGAAGATGAGATGGATATTTTTTGTTTAACCTCATTTTAGTAGTTATTTGCTAAAAAAAACTTGTTAAATGTGTTAGTTGCTACAAAAACTTGTATATATCTATATTTTATATATATATATATATATATATATATATATATATATATATATATATATATATATATATATATATATATATATATATATATATATATATACATACATATATACATATATATATATAAAATATACATATATATCTATAATATATATATATATATATATATATATATATATATATATATATATATATATATATATATATATATATATATATATATATATATGTTACATATATATATAATATATATATATATACATATGTATATATATATATATATTTTATATATATATATACATATGTATATATATATATATATTTTATATATATATACATATGTATATATATATATATATTTTATATATATATGTATATTTTGTATATATATATGTATACTTTATATATATATATATATATATATGTTACATATATATAATATATATATATATATATATATATATATTATATATATGTATACTTTATATATATATACATATATATATATATATATATATATATATATATGTATATGTATATATATATATATGTATATATATATATATATATATATATATATATATATATATATATATATATATATATATATATATATATGTATATATTATTGCCATTATTATTATTACTATTATTAGTAGTAGGATTATGAATATTACTATTATTGCTAATCTGTTTAAGGTTACAAATATTTGGTCTTGCAGAAAGTCTATTGGAGAAGGTAATTTAAAGTTATTTTAAAATATTATGAATTTCTAATCAATATTTGACATTAATTTTATTTTAAAATATTCACAGGCTGATCGGTTATATACCCAATTGTCATTGTATTCCATGCCAAAACTTTTACACACTCGAAAGGTATTTTCAATAGATTAAAAATTATAATTATAATAAAAGATAAATAATTAAGCAGAGTTGGTTGTTATGCAGGTTGGTTGTCACAAAGTTTATTATAAACATTGTCAACAAGATTTGAAATTTTTAAATCATACAACAGAAGCTGTGATCCTAAAAAATTACAAAATAAATATCTGTGAAGCCATTGAAATAGATAAGTTACAATAGTACTATTTTGAATATAAAATTTTAAAATGAGATAATTGCAACCTAGTAACTTACCATCATGTTTTTTGTACAAAAAACTTTTATAATATGAAATAATAATGAAATCTTTAGTGACAGATAAGAAAAAGGTTTACTTTAAAAAAAAAAAAATTATTTAGTCAAACTTTTTTTACTAAAATGATCATAAATCCTTATTGGATTTAATGATATATATACAGTGCTCGAAGTGAGGCGGGATGGGGCGGGATGCCATCTTGTTACCTTTTTTAATTTTGAAAACCATCCCACTACCTTTTTTAATCCATATTTTGGGGTGGGATGCCATCCCGGTACATAATAAATTAATGGAAATTTTTTTTTTTTTCCTCCTATAAATAAACATGTAAAAACAATTTTAAAGTTTGCGGCAATATGCGAATTTAAATGAACTAAAGTCTCTCAGCTGTTATTTAAAAACTTGTGGTAGAAAGTTCAAAAACTAAATCAATAATTACAAAACATTGCATCTTTTCTTTTGCATTTCAAATAAAAAGTTACCAAGCAACAAAAAGTGACATTTGCTTTTTTTTCGTTAAAGTATCATTAGAGTTTTAATAAAATATAGTACACAGTAGATTTACTCAACATTAAATGATATGACCAGATTACTGGTCTGATTTACAGTGGAAGGAGAAATTAAAAACATTTGACTGGTTGACAGTTTCATTAACAGGTTTTGGTTGTTCTGTTTGTAAGTTAGCAAATAATTTAGGTGCCGAAAAATCTCAAGGAATAAAATTGGCTAGCAAGTGGACGCTTGGCAACGTTAAGGAGTATGACAAAACAAAAGAAAAAAAACAACAATCAATAAGGAAAAAACTTTCAAGCCATAAACTACCAGTTGCACACGAAAAGGCTTGTAAAATTATTTCTCAGTCCAAAAAAAACACCATAGAGATGTTTAGTTCAAAAATGCAGATCAATCAGCACGAAACTACCTACCACATATTTCGCACTGTTTATCACATTGCAAAAATGAATCAACCATTTTCTGATTTGAAAGAACTAATATTATTACAGGTAGAAAATGGTTTAGACATGGGACGTATTTTACAATCTGATCACGCATGCGCTGATACTGTTTATCATATTTCAAATGAAATGCGCACTAAGCTTGTAAAATATATTCTTCATAACGATAATAAAGTAGGGTTAATGATAGACGAATCTACCACGATGACTGAACTGGAAACTGTTGCTATGGCTTTAAGTGTAAAACTAAATTCCATTGGACGAATTCTAGGCACTAGATGGGTGTCGTCTAGCGCTCGATCTGTGATGGCTGTTTGGAATACTCAACATGGGACTAATGCTAGATAATAGAACTAGAACATTTTTCTAAAGATACAGATCGGAAAAGTTTCTAAAACTACAGATCGGAAAAGTTTCTAAAATTAATCAAAATGAATTTTTTAGTAAACTAAGTGAAAATCTTGATTCTAGAATGTTTACAACTAGAGCTGCACATAAATCTTTACAAGTCAAAGAGAAAGATCCAAACAAAGACAAATACAATAATTTAATAAAAAATTTAAAAATTTTTGATAAGCCACAATGGTTTGCAGACCAAGATCCATGCTATGGAGATAACGATATTAGACAATTAGTAAAAACTATAAAAAAGTATTTTTGAAATTACGGCAGTCCAAGGGTTTAGTGAATAAATTTCCACTGGTGGCTGTAATAAAACCCCTAATGATCTTTAGCCTCTGAGAATTGCTATAAATACCTTGATTGTTTCAACAGCTGATTGTGAGCGTTCTTTTTCTACTATGAATATAATCTTATCTTTCTTGCAAAACTCTTTATTAATAAAAACTGTGTCGAGTTTAATTTTCATTTCATTAGTAGGTCCACCAGTTACGCATTTCGATTCAAAGGATTATGTCATTAAGTGGTTTGGGAAAGGACATCGCGATGCTAATTTTAGGAATTGTGAAGCGCCGACATTAAAGTCTATAAATGAAAGTGAAATATTTTGGAAGATATTCTGATCAAATTTTTTTTCAATTATTTAAAAATTGGTAAATACAAAAAAATGAGACTTGTTTAAATTAAAATGTTTAAATATACCTTTATTTTTTGATTGTCTAATGATGTGAAACTCAACTCAATATTTTACGGTGACAGTCTCTTAAGAATATAACGGACCTCAAGTTGTTTTTTTAATATACGTTTTTTACTATAGGGATACTCTAGGGATTTATAATTCCTTTATTTAATCTACACAAAATACGAAATCTGTAATTTTAGGATAGGTGGGATGGTGATTAAAAAATATTAAAAACCATCCCGCTACCTTTTTTTTCCCACTTCGAGCACTATATATATATATATATATATACATATATATATATATATATATATATATATATATATATATATATATATATATATATATATATATATATATACATATATATATATATATATATATATATATATATATATATATATATATATATATATATTTATATATATATATATATATACATATATATATATATATATATATATATATATATATATATATATATATATATATATATATATATATATATATATATATATATATATATATATATATATATATATATATATATATATATATATATATATATACAGGCTTGGTCGGGAAGCAGGAGCGATCGCTCTCGATTGCTGACCATGTAAATAATATTTAGTTGCGAAAAGCTGGCCAGATTTTTTAGTCATTTTGAGAGCATTTTTTTTAAGCGATAAAGATTAATTGGACCGATGAGACACAATTACAAAAAAAAAAAAAATTAAAGCTAAATAAATTATATTTAGAACAAATATTTTCGAAACATCGCTCTTTTATAATCTTTTTTATAAAATTAAGCGATGTTTTTTATATAAAGTAACAACTTACGATTGTTTAAAAAGGAAACAAATATTCTTTATTAACAAAGTTTGCAAGTTTTAGTTTTATTTAAGCTAAATTATTTTATAAATAAAAAAGTTTATTTTTTTAATACCTATTTTATGTTTTGCGTAGTTTGAAAAGTTTAACATATTTGAAGCAATTCTTCTTAGTAAGATAAACAAATGAAATAATTAAATCATTGAATTACTATAGAAATTAGATTAACAAAATAGTAATCAACTAAAAAGGTTAAAAATACTTAATGACGAAGAAGCGAAACTGCTTTACAATATCGCTGATGATGTTTTGTTTAGTGAGTGGGCTTTTTAATTTTAATTAGTATTTAAAGCAGAAAAAAGTATAAAGAATTGCAGAAAAAAAGCAGAAAAAAGTATTTAAGAATTGCAACTTAAGCGAAAATAATTAGAGTTAGTAAACCAATATCTAAAAACTTTTCTTTGTATCTAATTATTTGCTATAAATATTTGTGTTCTGTCGTATGCGGTGCTTGTTCATCCGCGAGTTACTTTGTATGCATTGTTTGTGTTTAGTAACCAGAAACTTCTTGTATGTTTGTTACATAATTAGTTTTATTAACTTTGACGATTATAACTTCATTGAAAATGAAAATATTTTTGTAAGTCTTTGTTTAAATCATAAAAATTGCTTTAAAAGATACATTACGATAAAAAACAGATACACACAATTACATTTACATAAAAAATACATACTTTTTAAATAAAAAATAAGAATATACTAATAAAATCTATGATTTATAATAAACTTTTAAAATTTTGACAATTTAATTAATATATATTTTAAACATTTATTTTTGTAAACAAATAATATATATTTTTAAACAATTTAGGCTAGAAATCTCAAATTGTAACAAATCGTGAGTAATACAATTTTTAAAACATTTCCACAGAATACTCTAGAACTTGCCAAGAAAAAACGACCAAGCCTATATATATATATATATATATATATATATATATATATATATATATATATATATATATATATATATATATATATATATATATATATATATATATATATGTATATATATATATATATATATATATATATTTATAAATATATATATATATATATATATATATATACATATTTGTATATATATATATATATATATATATATATATATATATATATACATATATGTATATATATATATATATATTTATATATATATACATATATATATATATATATATATTTATATATATATACATATATATATATATATATATATATATTTATATATATATATACATATATATATATATATATATATATATATATATATATATATATATATATATATATATATATATATATATATATATATATATATATATATATATATATATATATATAAGGAAACATTAAAAAAAGAAAAACATGCATTACTGCTTGTTTTTAGTTATGATGGAGCAGAAATTTGTGAACTTTTTGTGAGTTGTTTATAATAAGAAAATTTTATTAATTTAATAAAGTTTATTAGTATATTACTATTAGTTAATAAAGTTCACTATTTCGTTAATTATTCATCAATTATTAGTTATGACTTTATTTCCACAACTTTGCAAATTGGATCCACTGTGCAATCATATTGAAGGGGTTGGTTGTCACACAAAATAGGTCTTTTAAAAATGATTTCACAGTTTATTTAATTTAATGTCATAAAATTATCGTAATAGTTATGACAAATAACTAATTTACCTTGCTGTTTGTCGTAGTTTAAAAATAAAATATAAGCAATATAATATGACAATTAGCTAACAATGCCAACCCTGTTCTCCATAATGTCTACATTGTTTAAAAACTGTATTAACTATATCTTTATGCTATTTATCTGTTTATCTATGACAATCTTTTATATTTATATTTTTCTAAGGCTTTATCACAATATACAATCTCACTTTATCACAATATACAATCTCACTTTATCACAATATGCAATCTTACTTTATTACAGTGTACACCCTTGTTTTATAACAGTTTACAACCTTACATTGTTATAATGTATAAAATTTAAAATTGTTAACAATGTATTAAAAATCATTTTTTTTAACTTACATTGATCATGGTATTTTTATTTAAGTTGATAACAATTAATGTATTACTGTAAAGTAGAATAAATTTCAATTAATGTAATGTAAAATTAAATGAGTATCAATTTATCACTGCATAAATAAATTACTGCAATTTTAGTATCACTTACGAATGCACTATAATTGTTTTATTGCTTCTGAATTTTTGGACTGGCTTTGTCTTCACAAGGAAGCTCCAAGTCGTAAAGAAGCACTATTGCTTTGCAATCAATTATTGCATGATGGTCATATTGTCCATATATCAAAACAAACTGTGTTCAAAGATGATTCGGAATGGTATCAATTCACTCAGTTTACAGATGAATCTACAAACTCTATGGTTAGACTTGCTATATTTCATTATTATTGTATTATTTTTTTGTTTAACTTTATTTAAAAAGTGATATAATTATTTTAAAACAAAGTTTTTTTCTTTCTAGCAGCCCTTTAAATCAGATGGTGATCTATTTAGTTCTTGCATTACCGATGGAATAAATGAAGATATAAAGATATATATGTTTGCTGATGTTGCTTTGAACAGTGAAGGTTTGTGTTTTTAATTGTTTAATAAATATTTTATTATGTTGTATCTATTTTATTTATACTGTATTATATTGTATTATAGCTATTTTATGAATATTGTACTGTTCATATGATTTTTTATTTTTTTATTTATATCATTATATTTTTTTAAACAGCTTTTTTATTTCTAAGATAATTTTAAAAAATATAAATTTGCTGTTTATTATTATCTCCAAATGCATATTACATCTTTGTGCATACAAATTTATAAACAACTAATGATTTGAATTCTACAGGAAAGGGATCCTTTGATGAAAACATATTAGAAATTTTGAAAGAGGTAAAAATCAAATTAAAGGGTATAGGTTTACAATGTTTTTTAAAGGGATCCCAAAGTGTCGAGACAAGTTGTGTTTATTTTAAAGAGAATGATTTAAAAAAATGTTTGGGCAGAATTTTTTTAAGTAAAACAAAATAATAAATGTATACCAACAAAAATAAACTTGTTGTTTTACTCGAAGCTTGCCATTTCCACAGTAGCTATTCTCTGAAAGTCTTTAAAATATACGCCGCAATTTACAGACTTTATCATTTATTAAAGCGCGTATATATTTCAAAGAGTTTTAGTAAATGACGTCATTGTAAAAAAAATTTAATCATTTTTATTTGTTATTGTTTTATTTATTTTTTAAATAGTCTTTATTATCAATCGTATTAATATAAAATTGTATTAATCGTAATAAGAGTTTTTTGTTTTATAGGAAGCTATTTTTTTTTTTATAGAGCGCGAGAACCAAATAAAATTAAGATATTTATATTACACTCTTAAACAAAATAAATACATAAGAAAGTCATTGATCACCTTTTATATTTTCTTAATCTTTTTTTCTTTTTATGTAAACAATTTGAACTTATTTTTAGTTTATCTATGCCTTTTATTGCTATGACGTTTTTGTTCTCCTATCGAAATGACATTTTACAAATACAGTTTGTACTAAGACCAACATTTTAGCTTAGTGAAGGTGTTTTAACAAGTGTTCTAGATTTAATTATGTCTGAATCACTAGTTCCAGTTTTCAATATCAATTACAACGAGCCAATCAGCGCAAAAAATGAAAATCATTTAGTTTTAACGTGGAACTTTTATTTAAATGATAAAAATCAATCAAATTTTTCAAACATTTGTTTAAATTATAAACGAGGTAATTATAAACAGATTGACAAATATTTTTCACAAATTGAATGGGAAAAAGTTTTAAATGAGCATGATATTGAAATATCTTATAAAAAATTTTTGGATTGTTATACATCTGCATGTTATAAATATATACCAGTCATTAGCACAAGTCTATATAAACAAAATTTAAAATGGCTACCTTATGAGGTCAAATCACTAATTAAGAGTAAAAATACTTTATGAAAGCCTAATAGAAATTCTGGTTGGAAAATTGAACCACAAATGCAACAATATAAGTTATTTAAAAAAGAAGTTGAAAAACAAGTAAAGTTATCAAAGAGGAAATATGAAATACAACTAATTAAAAGCTTTAGGTATAAGCCAAAACAATTCTACTCTTATGTTAAACATCAGCAATCAGTTCATGGTTATATTAGAAGACTAAATAATCAATATGGTGAGTCATTAACAGGTTTGATATTGTCAATCAATTAAATAATCAATTTAAATCAGTATTTTTACAACAACAAAACAATGAAATATCAAATTTTCCTATTTGAATTGATAAAGATTGTCCAATACCAACTTTTACTGCATCAAACGTACACCAACAATTATTAAAACTAGATCCCTACAAGAGTGTTGTTGTAGATAATGTGCATGGATATGTGTTAAAACAATGCGCATCTAGTTTTTCAAAACCGTTAAGTATTCTGTTGAATATATCGTTCAATAATTCTAAACTGCCTGATAATTGGAAAGCTTCAAATGTAACCCCGTTATTTAAGAAGGGTAGTAGATTGATTGCAGAAAATTATAGACCTGTATCTTTAACCTCTATTATATGTAAGGTCATGGAATCCATTATAAAAGACTGCATATTTAACTTTTTAGATAGTGAAAAGTTATTGAATCAGAATCAACATGGTTTTTTGAAACATAAATCATGTGTCACCAATTTAGTAGAATCTATGGACTTGATAACATACTATTAATCCCAAAATTTGTCTGTGGATATTATTTTTTTAGATTTTGCTAAGGCCTTCGATTCAGTACCACATCAGAGATTATTGTTAAAAATATCAGCTTATTGTATAAAAGGCAAATTATTGAAGTGGATTGCAGATTTTTTATATTCACGAAAACAACGAGTTCTTATGGGTGATTTTATATCAAGTTGAGTGGTGGTCTTGAGCGGTGTCCCACAAGGTTCCGTGCTTGGGCCAATTTTTTTTATCATTTTCATTAATGATTTGAATGAAATCATCATAAATAATTCAAAATTTTATGCTGATGGTTCAAAGATAATAGCTGAAGTAAATAATTTGACACAATGTTTATCATTACAAGGCGATATTAATAATGTTTTAAAGTGGTGTAAAGACTGGTTAATCAACTTAAACATCGACAATTGTAAAGTTATGCACATACACGGCAAACAGATTTTAAAGTACAATTATAGTATAAATAAAGTAGATGGCAAACAACTAGTCTTATGATCGTCAAATGAAGAAAGAGATTTAGGAATCACAATAAGATCGGATTTGAAATGGAAAACGCAAGTGTTAAGCGCATGTAATAAAGCAAATGCTATAATTGGTCTGGTAAAAAAAACATTTAGCATAATAAACGTACAAATGATAGAAATTTTGTACAAGTCATATATACGACCGCATTTAGAATATGCAAGTGTAATATGGTGTCCTTATCTGACAGGAGATATAGAGAGGCTGGTAAAAATTCAACACAAAGTAACAAAAATCCCTTCAGAATTAAATAATATATCGTACGAAGAATGCCTTAGATATTTGAGCTTAACCAGTTTGGATATAAGATGACAACATGGAGACTTAATCCAAATGTATAAAATTGTTCATGGGTATGAGAAAATTCAATGGTCAAATTTTACATTTCCAGTTATTGATAAACCTGGGATTCATACACGTAGGCAAGGGCATAAATTAAATATTGAACTAATAAAAAATTGTCCAGCAAGATTTAATTTTTTTACAAACAGAGCTGCGAAATTGTGGAATTCCTTTAAAACCGAAGATGCTAATGCAATATCATTAAACTCATTTAAGGCTATTTTATCGTCCAGATATGATTACTAACGTTTACATTCACAATGGTATTGTAACCAACAACGTTATCAATTAAATGCTCGTTTGGAGTTTTGTGGTTGTCCTACTAAAGAAACTTCTTTGTTTATATGATTATGTTTATAGTAACGGTTGCTATAACCTAGTGATAGGTTCTGCAGGAATACATTATCTCTGTTTCAACATCAATATATTATTATTATTATCAATAATAAAGAATTTCAGTAAACGCCATCATTTATTAGAGATATTTGCTGAATTCCTAAATTTTTAGTTAAAAAATATTTATAGATTTTACACTTATCAAATTTACAGATTTTTAATTAATTAAAGCAATAAATCATGTTTTATGGCAATAACTAAAGACAGATGGCGATTAAAATTGTCGCAGTGCGCGTTAAAAAACATTGTATTTTATACTTTTCAATTTGTCATGTTTGGTAGTTATTTTATATTAACCTGTCTCTAAAAATTACAAATCAAAAAACTACTAAAATTGACAATAAAAAGTTTTTCATTAAACAATTTCAATTTAAAAGTTTACTCGATACATGTTTTACAAAATAAATTTCATTAATTATATTCTCACATGATTAAATAAGAATTTTGAGAATACTTGTAAACGATGAAAATGTAATAAAATAAATGCTGTTAATTAAACTTTCATAAGGTTAACTCTTTCGCTACCAGCCATTTAAAAAAAAAAAAATTACGCTACAACCACACGGTTTTTTGAATAAAATTTGAAAGGCATTGACAACTAATTAAAATTTGAATTGTAAATCTTTTTGAATGCATAACAAACTATATAATAATAAACAACTAAACAAATGAACTTCTTATCTAAATAAGTTTTTAACATGCGTCATTGAACAATAAGAAATGCAAAGTGCTTAAAACCATTGTCTTATAAATAGTAAAAATCAATAATAAAATGTCTTATAATAAAAATCAAAAGCAATAAAATCAAAAAAATATTTTTTTTAACAGAATCTTAATAAGGATGATAATCATTTAATAACAATAAATATATATGGGTTAACCTGTTTAATTGGAATGGAAGCAATAGGTATTGTTTCTACATATCTAGATTCTTTAACATCTTACTCACTAAGCCCTTCTATAATTTTACCATCATGCATAACAGCTAGATCAAAAACGCTCATTGATAACAACATATTCACAAACTTTTACTCAACTGATCAATTCTCAGGTAACCTTATATATATATATATATATATATCTACTATAGCATATTTATATGCGCACTTGCTCACTTTTTTTGCTCATCTAAATCGATATAGATTTTTTAGAAAAAGAAGAGGGAAAACGATGAATAATGAATTAAAATGTTGCTGACCCATCCCAAAACCCTTAGGCTATGTAGCAGCACTCCACTGCAAGTCAGGCTGTTTGTCAGTTGATGTATGTACTGAAGCCCCCGGCAGCAGGGTATTTCAGTATAATGTCACACCTTCCATCTAAATAAGCAGTATAAGGTATAACACAAATATAATTTATAGCAATAGACGAGCATAAAATATCTGAAATATTTTATATTTTTAATGCGAGCTTTGTGAAAGTTAGAAAATTTTATTTTCTAACTAAAGAAATTCTACAGTAATTTATGATAAAAAATTTTTTTACATTGCACTATAAATAAAATTTGTCTCACAATTTTTAGTTATTTTTAATTTTAAAACATAAAATAAGTAACTAAAAATATTCTTTAGTCATCTATAATAATAATTTTAAAAAGTTCTATAATTTGATTAAAAAAAAAAGAATTTTCAGATTTCTTAACAAAATTCTACAATGACGTCATTTACTAAAACTCTTTGAAATTAAACGCGCTTGAATAAATTATAAAGTCTGTAGATTGCGGCGTATATTTTAAAGACTTTTAGAGAATAGCTACTGTGGAAACAGCAAGCTTCGAGTAAAACAACAAAGTTTGTTTTTGTTGGTATACATTTCATATCTGTTGCAACGAAGTATATAATGAAGCAACGAAGTGTGTTGCTTCATTATATCTGTTGGTTTTTGCACTTAGATTGACTAAAAGAAATATAGTTTATTTGGTAAGATAAAAATTATAAATTTTATTTATAAGCCGAAGTTGAAACATGTTGCTTTTGAGAATGTTAAACAAATTACTATTAATTATTATTAATGTTATTACTATTATTAATGATCAGTATTAATGTCACAATAAAAAACAAGTTTAATATTATTAATTTTAAAGGTTCTATCAATTAAGCATTTAACTATATTTATCTTGTGTAAAAAAGAGATTTTTTTAAAACAACAAAAGAAGTTATGGAGTACGTTTCCTTATAAAAAATGGAAGTACATAATAAACTTTTTTTTTTATGCATATTAATGTCTAGGTAAGAGATTTTAGATTCCATAACAACCCCTGTTTGGTTGAAAGGCTGTTTTTCAAATTAAAAATGTGGTTGCGGTATTGTAACGATAAAATATTTACTTAAATCAGTTTTGTTAATTTTAAGATTATCATTACTGCTAAAATTGAATTAACAACCATGTTGATGGTTTCTTGAAAGGTGCATCAGTGTTTAGGCTTGTGGCATAAAATACTATGTATTTTCTATGAAAGTTAGCTTGATTTACATCTTTTATAAAACTGAATGAATCTTTTGTACAAAACTCTGAAGGTATTACAGGTGACAGTAAATTTCTTAGAAACTTAGCTAATGATAGTTGTAGGTGCCAATTGATGAAATAATAGGTCTGAAACTTAAACTTGTATTTTCAGGACATAATTTAATCATTTTTGGAAGACCATGAATACAAGCAGGTTATGAAGTAACATCTTTATTTATTGTAATTTAAAGTTAGTTTGATCATTTATGATTTTGTATATCCATCAATGCTTTTCTGTCTAGAATGACAACACAATTTCTTTTGTCTGGTTTTAATATGATATTGTTTGAGTTATTTTGTAACTTTATATGTATTGGTTATAATGATTGTTTTATTTATTAAAAATATGGTTTTTATTAATAAGTGGAAAAAATTAAAAAGCAGAAGTAAACAATTGTAAAGAACTCTTTTTATAATGATGCAAACATTTTCCATAAATGTGTGACATATTACAGTATTAATAATATAGTTCTTAACTTTTTATTAATAATATAGTTCTTAACTTTTTATAATGATGCAAACATTTTCCATAAATGTGTGACATAATACAGTATTAGTTAGTTTAACTTCCTGTAATTTAACTTTGATGACTTTCTGTCATTTATTTTTTTGGTATAAATTGAAGTTTGTTAACTTGATCATTCATTTCTGATGGATCTTTATTGATGAAACACTGCATAAAATGAATAAAATTTGATAAGCGATTTTCTACTAATTTATTGCTCTTTTCTTTAAAGAATATTGAGCGCTCTATTATATAGAATACATTTAAAATTGTTTGCATATTTATATATAGACACAAATATATAAATTTATATTTCCTAATATCATTTTTGCGATCTTATTCTAAAAACATGCCCTTCAAATTTTTTAGAAAGAGAAAAAAAAAAAAGAAGAATAATGAAAGAAAATATTGCTGCCCCACACCAAAACCTCAGCTGATGTAGCACACTCCTACTAGCAGCAGGATATAAACTAGTTTATGTATGTACTGCAGCTACCTCTTTCAGTATGATGTCATTAGTGTTTGTCTAATGCTGCATTTATGTATGTGTAAATATAATATAAATATATACACACACGCACGAGTCCCCACCTGAAGAGGAAGGATAATACTAGAAGCAATACTAGTAGTACCCCTAGAAGTAGTACCCTTAGCTCACATAAAGCAATTCTAGGCAGACCTGTGACAAAATAGTTAACAGATTTCTGGTTAATTGGTCAACATCAATTAATGGAGCCAAACTCTCTGGTTTAAAGCAATACTGCACATATAAAAACAATATCAAGACAGAATTGCATGATTGATGTTATGAAATTTTAAAATGAATAGCAGAGTTTAATGAAAAATAAATGCAGAACAACCGACCCTGGCATTAGGGGAGCAAACTTTATTAAACAGTTGAATTCTCTTTTTGTATACATTAGTGCATCAGGTGCTATTAATGAAATAAAAAAATCTAGATTTTTGTCAGACAGAAAAAAACAAGATGATATCAATTTTTTTTCAACTTTTTTGCTTCCAGCAAGGCTGCAAGCAACAACTATTAGAGTTGGAATTTGAAAGAGAAAAGATGAAGTTTATAGAGCAAGATAATGATTGACAGATGACTTAAAAGATTGCAAATTATATGAATCAGGAAAGCGAATTCCAAAAAACTGATGTTTGAGGAAAAAAACTAGACAAATAAGAATTTTTAGAGCACTTAGGAATAGTCACAGAAAAAGGATGAGACTTGATTGATTTACGAGTAACACGAGAATGAATTTTAGTAGATGGCACAAGAGGTGCTAGCTTTTTAGAGCAGTGCCCGTTATAGTATTTGTAGAAAAGAGAAAGAAAAGCAACATTACAACAATGTGATAATGGTTGGAGGTTGGCTGCAAGAGCAGGTCCAACTATGTTTACAATGAGTTTTTGCACCTTGTCTAATAGAGAAAGGGCATCATTGGAAGATCAGCCCCAGATATGACAGTATTTAATACAAGGCTGAATTTGAGATTTATAGAGATAAAGAATAAAATTTGGAGTAAGTAAGTGTTGAGCACGATAAAAAGATGCAGCCTTATCAGATGCTAATTTTGCAATGAATTTGATATATGGTTTCCAAGAAAAATCAGAAATAAGAGTTAATCTTAGAAGACAAAAGGTATATAGATAACTCATCAAGTAAATTACCATTCATAAACATGGGAAGATTTAGATTATTGCAATAATGATTAGCTTGAAAAAATTTCTAATAAAGAGTTAAAAAGCATTCTCTGTTTAAAATGCGCAAGAAGTTTTGACGAAGCATTTTATGATCATGCTATAGAATTATTTTTGAACCAATATCCAAATGGCAAAGTAAGAAATAATCCAAGGCAGATTATTCTGGTATGAGTAAATTATGAAAATACATCAATTAGACAATCGCGATTGCGCAGAAACAATGTTTATATATAAGAAAAAATAACTATTTTTAGTATTTTTAACTTATGTTTTCCCTCCATCAATTTACATATAGTTACAAATTCATACTATGCTACAATTAAATATTTAAAAACACCACTCCTACTACTGTAGGAGAATTAAATGATTATTCTCCGTAGAGGTTAAAACAACCAGATGTAAACTGTCTTATCACGTTATTAAAAAATTTGCCGTTTTAAACAAAATCTTTGCCTACAGCACATAAACTAAATTTGTATTTCTAAATGACCTTTTTTCTATGAGCAATCTAAAAAACCAGTTAACAATCTATAACAAACCAAATAACAATTAATAATCAATTAATAATCAAAAAATAATAAACAATTAATAATCAACCAAATAACAATTAATAATCTAAAAAACCAATTAACTATGAGCAATCTAAAAAACCAATTAAAATATAATAAATAAACAATGACCTTTTTTTTTTGTTAAAAAACAACTTCAAAATTAAAAAATCACTAATTCATAAATTATACTTAATTTACTACACAAAATATAATTGCTACATTCTTTAAAATAATGTCTGAAGCTATGCTAGTATAAAGTAATACTTTTATAATCGAATAATCAATACCCCTATCATAACAGAAAGGAAAAAATCCATTTTTTTTTTTTTTGCCGACCTGACATCGGCTTTTCATCGGTAAGCGCTTGTGCTGACTTGAAATCCTTTGAATTTTGAAGACTGGATGTTGATTTAATTATATCTTTATAATTAAAGACTGGATGTTGGTTTAATTATATCTTTAGGAAAAAAGCTGTTATAAAATTGTCATTTTTTTTTTCCTTTTTTGAATTGCATATTTTTATCTAACTCATCTGAGACTACTAATTCAGAATCAGAATATTTTTCAAGACTTGATTGGTCAGAATGTTGTCAGGGTTGACCTATCATTTTTGTTGAAATTGTATTGTTTTCTAAATCTTTTTTTTTTATAAACTTTTTATAATTTTTTTCTTTTCGATCCATTGACCATTGACTTTTGCATCCTTTAGGTCATCCAAAAACACTCTTATTCTCTGGTTGAAAGTGATTTAGTCTTATCTTTCATTATTATACCATTAACATCTGAAGGAGATATGCTAAAAAGATTACACATTTCTTCCCCAAATTCTGCGTACTATTTTTCTTTATTTCTGTTCGCTTGTAATCTACCTTTACGATTTTCCAATGTCAGTATGTTGTTCCTTAAAGTTAATTACTAACATTTTATCATATTTATACCAATATTATTTTCATCAATATTAGAAATTAAAAGCAGGCCCGTGCACAGGATTTGGGGGCCCCAAACATCCTTCAGTTTGGGGCCCCCCTTACTCCGAAAAAAAAAAAAACCTGCTCAAATTTTTTGATTTTTTACTGATATATAAATTTAATTAAATAGTCCAGCTTATGTTATTTTTCTTGTCTTTTGTTTAGCAAACTCTTCACATCATGGAAGTCAAGATTTCGTGCTGATAGACACTCGATACTCAAAATGGCAAGGTCACTTGTTCTTTCTTGTCCCAAAATTGAGTGCGAAAAATTCTTGATAAGCTTCAATTTACTGAATGAACGCTCACTTGAGGCCACTGTCACTAAAATTAAAGCAAAAATATGCAATGCAATCACTACATTTCTAAAGAGTTTCCAAGCTTCATTTTAGAAATTTGTTTAATTAGTCAAATAGGGCAAGAGGTTTCTTTTCAAAATTTGCATTATGAATTTGTTTTATGTGAAGCAATTCTTCAGTAAGTTCATTTTTTAAAATAAGATTTGATCACATGATAACTTTTTCCACAAAATTCAAGGTAGGCATATAAATAAGATTTAAAAAAAGCTCTTCCAGACCATGGTTAGGGATCGTCTATAAATTATGTAACGCTAAATTTATTTTAAAAAAAGAAGTATTAGATCTTAAGCTCTTTTTTGTGGCAATTTTTATTTAATTTAATGAGCTATTTTAATATTTTTTAACTTAAAGCTCTTGATGGGGAAAAAAAAGAAGGAAAAAAACCCGGAATGTTATTGCCGCTGTTGGGGGCCTCTATAAGGTCCAGGGCCCCAAGCAATTTGCTTGGGTGACTCATCCTCTGCACGGCCCTGATTACAAGTGTTATTTATACCTTATTTGTTTATGACACAATATTGAAATTGAAGCTTTTTCCCATATGATAATTATGGCTTTAGTAATACACATCAAGCTTTTCTTTAGTAACACACATCAAACTGTTCTCTTTTCACTGACAACCACCAGATCCATTACATTAAAAATAAAGAAAATAAGAAAGGGGGCAGGGGACCACATCTTGAAGTCTAGCAGATTTTGAAATTGATTTCATAAAGTGATTTCTTCTAATTAGTAATTTTTTTTTTTTTTAATTTTATTTCACCTCCCAAGGCTATGAAGGCCTTTACAGTCGAGGAGACTACTTTAATTGTTGTTACAACCCTCTCTCAACTCTATAATGTGGAAAGCGCGGAGAAACAAGTTTTGGAATAAAGATATCCAAGCACTTCTCCTTTTGTTAGCAGCTTATTCTCAGGTAGCTTTTCAATGATTTTTTCTATCAAAAAAACTTTTTTGGAACTTGTTCGAGACATCACATATATTTTTCAAAATTCCATACAATAGTAAGTGCAATGTTTAATTGAAAATTCCTTTTATATGTTAACAATGTCCCTAGAGATATAAATTAAAATTGTGCGCATTCAAAACCTTTTATTATACATATTGTAAAACTTGTAATAAACCTGTTTTATTATAAGATTTTTATCATGTAACAATCCCCAAATGAGTAGTTTATGTTATATTTTAAGTATTATTTATTAAGTCATCTCGAATAAAAGTAAAATACTAGTGTAATGTTAAGTGTTTGGTAAAATACTTAAGTGAGTTAAATATGTTAAGTATATTTTTTAAATATGTTAAATATGCTAGGTATAATTGTTAAATATGTTAAATATGTTAAGTATAATTGCTAAAGTGTTAAGTTTAACTATGTTAAGTGTTTAGTAAAATACTAGTGTAAACAATACTTTTCACTAAAACAAGAAAATACAAGAAAAGTCTAATAATTTCAATAGACTGGAGGAGGCAGTAAATAAAACTTTAAATAAAAATGTATATAATTTTTTCTATTACTCATCAAAATGCACCAGAAATCAAATAACGACCTTCAAAAATCAAAAATTTTGTGGAAATGGTTAAGGCTAGGCAACAAGTTTTCTTAATAACAATGTATTTTATATAAATACAAATATTTTTTTTTTCTTAGATTTTACCCTTCTTCGCCAGACTGTGGTCGGTACACTATCTCATATTTTTGTGGTTAAAGAATGTCATGTTTGGCCTCTTCCTCGAACCTTTCTACCAACTGCTGTAACAAATGACCAGTTTGTTAAAAAAGCTTGCATGAGAATAACAGACATTGTTTCACTGGTAATTTTTTTAATATAGGAATTCGAACTAAATAATTAGTAAGTTGTTCAAAAATAGTTTTGGCAAATTCTGATGGTATGATATGGAATAGTGTGGCAGTTAATATGATCAGTTTTATATTACCATTATATATGCAAGTCTCTTGTTAAAATCACACAATATTGTGAATATATATCTTAATCATTCACTTAAAATATGACCACTAAATGTAATTTAAGTTATCTTAACTCACTAAGATAATGGACCAATTTATTTGAAAACAATGACGATAGGCTGGTTTTATTTAACATGAATAAATCACAAACAAATTGTGTAGTTTTGTACACATTAATTGTGTTAAAATGGCGAAAACACAAATTTGTGTTATGAGGTACACAATAAATGTGTAGTTATATATTTCTACACAAAATTGTGTGAAAAGTATACTCATTGATTGTGTAGCTTGCACACATTTTTGTGTATACAAACTACACATTATACATTATACACTTTAGTTCAAAAAATGTGTAGTTTTCACACATTATTTGTGTGCATAGTAGCACATTTTTTGTGTTATTTAATACACATTTTTGTGTTAATTATTACATATTTTTGGTGTTTTTCTTCTACTCTGTATTATAACTACATAATAAATGTATTTGAAGTAAATTCGCAATTAACTGGTCTACATGTTTAATTGAATACAAAGCAAACGTCATTTTGCAATACAAAACAGAATTTTTTGCTCTTGAGTGCTAGTCAAAACAATATCTGCAAAAATGCAAATATACAAGTCTTTATTCTAAAACATTCACATAACATAACCCCGCAGACAAAAATGCGTTTTTAAAACTTTTTAAATACGCATATTGAAGTCGCTTGTAATACGTGTTTTTATAGTATAGAACGCAAATCCAAAATCACGTATTAAAAAGACGGTAATAATGCGTCTAGAAAATACGTATATTATTCTTGATAAAAAAACGTGTTTTAAAAAAGACTAAAGTTGAGAAAAGTAAAGAAGTAGCAGTAAGTGTGGACATACAAATGTTAATTATTTTGGTGCAATAGTATTCAATGTAATATTGTGCAAAGACATTTATTCTATAAAATAAGAATAGTGAAATGAATATAATGTTAACAGAATAGTGTAATGATTTTATAGTCTTAAGAATAGTGTAATAGTATTTTGACCTCTAAAGAAGTGAAAATAATGCAATAGTCATAAAGTAGCATAATTGTGTTTACACATTAAAATAAGTAAAAATGGTCTGTAATATAGTGAAACAGTCTGTAAAATAGTATAACAGAACTTAAATAATAAAATGGTCCAGTTTATTGATTTGATTTGATTGTGAAACATTGTGTTTTAAACTGAAACAACTGAAACAAAACGTTTTAAATTTTATTTTTTTGTTTTTTTGTTTTTATTTTTTATAACATTTATTTATCCTTTGATTTTTAGTATTGCTTTTTATTCTTTAGGAATTATATGATGATTCACCCTATCAACTTTCAATTAAATTTATTGATGAGGTATGTTAATAGGTAGAATGATATTATCATTATAATTATTATTATTATGAAAGTTATAATTATAATTAGTAATGTACCAATTGAACATTTTTGGCTGGCACCAAAACCAATGCCGATGTACAAAAAAAGGCCAATGCCAATTAATTAAATGACTTAAAATACATCATGCTTACTTAAAATTCTCTCCACCTTGGGGTTCTTGGTTGAGTTTAGGTTAGAAATTGCGTCTCGATAAAAATATTTGTTTTGAGCAGATGTTAACATCTGACTAATGCCTTTTAGAAAACTTCGTAGCCAAAAACTTTAAGGGTATGCAGAAAATTTTTGTAGACCAGCCTTGGACTTCTTTTTTCTCAATAGCCTGGTATAGACTTTAAACCTGCGTTACATCTATATTAAGGATCTATCTATACTAATTATCTGTCTATATTAAATATCTATCCATATTAATGATCTCCCTAATAATCTTACCCCTAAAGTATATTACAATATATTAAATAGTATAGTTTTGTCTCAAAATTAAAAAAAATACCTATATTATATTTAGAGTGAGAGTTTAGTTTCATATAACTATTTTCATAAAGCTGTATAAAAATTATATTAAAAAGCATTCAGTTAGAAAATGGGTAAATCAATAAAAAAAAGACTGATGCCAATACTAATATTAATACTAAAACCATTTCTATACTTATTCTTTATTTGGTCACTTTACTTTGATGTTTTTAAATAAATACTAGAAAACTATTTATTTTTAAATCTAGGTTTTAGATTAATTATGTTTTAGGTTTAACAACATTTTAGGTTTCTTATTTAAAACTTCTTATAATAAACGCGTAAAGAAGTAACATATATATAAATTTTTTTTTTTTGCTCTTTTTCACAAACTTTAAACTATATAGAAACATAAGCTTGTTTATTTATTTCTAAAAAAAAAGTTGAATTTAATATCTTCCTACTTTAGAATAGAAAGTTGTCTCTTTTATATCTTACATGCGCAGATCTAACTGATTACATAAAATCGTTAATAAAGAGTTAGCAAATATCACTAACACAGATGACAATTACGTGATATTTCTCTCGGTAATTTTCAAAATTTATAGTTATGATAAAGTTTAGACCCGCCCAGTAAAACCCCTCCCCCTTACATTAATTTGGTGTGAAAAGTTGTTTTAATTAAAAGTTTTTTAAATAAAAAAAATATAATAAAAGGATTTTAAATCAAAAGGAGCTTTTATCAAAATAATAAAATATTTTATATATTTATATATTTAGTTTAAATAAAATAATTTATATATTTAATAGTTTATATATTTATAATTACATTGCTTTTAATTTGAAGTTTTTCAAGTTTTCATAAAATATGCAAAGTTAAATCTGCTTGTGAAGAGTTTGCTAAATTGTGAAATATGTCTTGAACATCGAAATAGCATAAAATAAGTAATTATTTTTTAAAATAACACGATGTTTTTTATTCTTGAAATGTTTTATAAAATTTATTTACATTTTCAAAAGGTTATTTTACAATTAAAAAAAATCTGAAATAAATATCAAAAAATAGCAGTCTTTACAGAGAAATTTTAACTGACAAAATCTATACATAATAAACCTTTATTTTTATTACAAAATAACTTGGTAAATCAAAATAACCAACTGTCATAACAAATTGTTGTTGTTTTTTTATTGTAAAATAATCTTTTTTTATTCTAAAATAAATTTTTCGAAACATATAAAGAATAAAAAACAATGTCAAGAATTAAAAATTGTCAAAAATTCAAATATTTTATTCCCTTTTCCTAACAATTGATATTTTGCTGATTGTATGTATGTATGTATATATATATATATATATATATATATATATATACATACATACATACATACATACATACATACATACATACATACATACATACATACATACATACATACATACATACATACATACATACATACATACAATTAGAAAAATATCAATTGTTAGGAAAAGGGAATAAAATATTTAACTTTTCGACAATTAATAAAAGCATAACTTGTTAAGAAAAAGGAACAAAATATATCTATTCAACAAAATTTATTTACAAACAAAACAATACAAGTTCACATCTATAAAAAAGAACAAAAAATATTTTTTTTAAATAAAACATTTAAAAAAACGAATTTTATTATTTACAGTTACTATATATATATATATATATATATATATATATATATATATATATATATATATATATATATATATATATATATATATATATATATATATATATATATATATATGTATATATATATATATATATATATATATATATATATATATATATATATATATATATATATACATACAAAATAACAAAACTAATGATAAAAAAATATAAAAAACATTTAACTACATCTACAGTTAGTAGATTTACAAACTACAAAAAATACTAATATAAAATCTGCAAGAACCTTTTTTTTATTTGCAAAGACAACTATTTATAACACAAATTAGCAAAAACAATAATTAACAGTACAAACAATTCTTTGAAATGTGACCATGAAATAAAGGTATTATTACCTTAATTGTGACTAATTAAATTTTTTATTAACTTTTAATTAATAATCAACATAGAAAATTACAAATAATTAAAATTTATTAAATTAAAACCATATTTTAATAGTGAACGAAGTAAACTAATAGTTAGTTTTAGATAATTAGTTAAAAAGATAAAAAATCACTATTAGATAATTGGTATCACTATTAGATAATTGGTATCACTATTAGATAATTGGTATCACTATTAGAACTATATTGTTGTACATTATATATTATTACTATTACAACTATTTATATATTATTGGTATTAGAACTAAAGAAATAAAATGACTAATTTTTTAACAAATTTAATAAATAGTTTTTTGAATTCCTTAACGAAATGTAACAAAACTTATTATTAAACGCATGATTTTATAATATAATTTAATAAATTTTACTTTAATAATTATTTAATCACATCACAAAATTAATAAATCTTTGACAATTACTACTCAGATGCTTTTTAAACTTTTTAAATACTTATTGATAAAAATGAGATACACTGCATAAGAACATGGAATATATAATATTTGCAATGCTATTATTATTTTCTTGTAATATCTGGTGTATGTCTAATAATTTAGTGTAATAAATTTTATGTTTAACTGATTTTTAAGGACTTGTTCAGAATACATATTTGAAACAGATTTTTAAGGACTTGTTCAGAATACATATTTGAAATAAATAACTGTCATTAACAAAATTGTTTGAAAAAAAAAGTAAATAACATTTCGAAGAATCAAAATATATTTAAAAAACTTTTTTTTTAAAAAAACACCCTGAATGCTACTCCAATCAGCGTGTGCATGATGTAGTGCATGCAAAGTGGAGTACATTTGTTATGCAAGTTTTTGATCCTATATTTTTTTTTTAATATTTTTTTAAAGGATAATGAAGAGTGTAGTTGGTTTATACATTCAATGTCTGCTTTTGAATGCAATAATCTGGTTAAGTTTATCAAAACAACATGGCAGCAACTATTTGCAATAGATCTGACTTGCTACAACCAACCAACTTTCTTTTTTTAGTTTTCATTTTATATTTCAAGATATAGTTATAAATTATTATTTTGTAAAAAAAAAAAATATTTTGGAGATTTTTTTATAAAATTTGTAAATTTTGATACAAATAAGTTTTATAAATTTATTCTTAAAAATCTTTTTCTGTATGCTTGGTGAACTTTGTGAAAAACATTTTTCAGCATGCTGGCTAACTTTTAAAGCTAATTACAAATGTTTTTGCTATCATATTTTCAAAACACCTCTGTGAGATCTTTTGATTTTTGTTTTGTTATGTCTCAATCTAAATAGTTTTATAATGTTTGTATATAAATCTTTTAATTTATTAACACTTATAAAGTTGTTTTAAAAAAGTTTGTTTTTTTAAATAGTTTTATAAAGTTTATTTAGTTTTTAGAAATTTTTTTTTTATTTATAGAATAGATCCATGAATTTGAAACCACAAAAATCAAATATAAAATTGAATTATTTTTACACAATTGTTTAGTTTTTCAATTTTTCTAGGTGCATTTATTTGACCTCTTACAGATGTCTTTATGGTGACACATGCTCACTGGGTAGTTAAAGTAAATAAAAAAGCGTAGAAAATTTCATAGCTATAGCCCAGTTTTAAATCAAGTTTTTTTTTATTATTCTGATTCAATCCCGACAAGGTTGCTACAATTAAGTAGGGAGTTACTAGATAAAATGAATAGAGTTATAGAACAAGAAAACAGTTGACAGAAGACTTGAAAAGTTGAAGGTTGTATGATTCAGGATAACATGAAGATGGGAGAGAATTCCAAAGGGTTAAAGTGCAGGAAAAAAACTAGACAAATAAAAGTTTTTAGAGCATGCAGAGACAGATACAGTGAAAGAATGAGACTTTGCTGAATGATGAGTCTAGCAAGATTGAGTTTTAGTTCATGGAATAAGAGATGATAGCTCCCTTGAGCACCGATCATGATATTATTTGTAGAAAAAAGAAAGAGATGTAGGAAATATTTGAGATGTAGAAGTAAAAGAGATGTAGAAAGTAAAACGAAAAAGAGAAAGTAGTTGTCAAAACAAGTTTTAATCAAGTTGCATTTTTTATTTGAACAAAAACCACTTTAGATATACAAAACTTTATCACAACTTAACATCTCATTAACATTCCAAGCGGCATTTGGTCTACAAAAGACTTTTTTTGAACATTCAAAAGATGTTTAAAAACTGATTTTAACCAAACTTAAAGTTCATGAAAAAAAACTTAATGTTCACGCTTAGGTCCAAACATAATGTTTTGCAAAAAATATTCGGTAAATGTAGTCTTGCAACAAAGATATCTCTACAAGTTCACCTCCTCTGCTCAAATATGAAGGTAATGAGTTAAAAAATATATTTAGTTTAACAATCTTTTACTAAATTTACCTATGATTTTTAATTTCTAATTATATTTTATAAAAGTTATGACCATGTCAAATTTGCCATCTCTTTTTTTTGGTTAAAACACTAGAGTTCTAGAATTAATGTACTTTCCCAGTTAGCCTATAAATAAAGGTTCAAGATTCAATTGTTCATTATATAGGTAAATATAGGTTTGAGGTTTGATTTATTTTTAAATTTTTTATATATAAAAATATAAATTTAAATATCAAATTTAAATTAATTTTAATATAGACCTAATTAACATTATATATATATATATATATATATATATATATATATATATATATATATATATATATATATATATATATATATATATATATATATATACAACCCTCGGAATAAGGAAAATTGAGGTCGGCAATAATTTGCCAACCTCAATCTTTTAGAGGTCGTCAAATACAAAGGTCTTACCATAAAACATCAAAACGAGGTCGGCAAAACCGAACTTTTTTAGTCAACCGCAAACACGTTTAGGTCGGCATTGCCAAATGCCGACCCTAATTTCGATATATATATATATATATATATATATATATATATATATATATATATATATATATATATATATATATATATATATATATATATATATATGTAATTATGTATGTATGTATAAATTTGCATAAATTTATTATTGCACTTTTCTTTTAAGAACATTGTAGAATACATTTAAAATCATTCATACATACATACATACATACATACATACATACATACATACATACATACATACATACATACATACATACATACATACATACATACATATATACATACATACTTACATACATACATACATACATACACATTATAATTATGTATTACATTTAATAGTGTTTAATGTTAAATGTTAGTACAATTTTGATAAACTCTGAACAGTTAATAATTTACATGAAGTTATGGATCTAAGCACTAGTTTCAATAACTTCAAGTATGAACACTTTCCGATTGTGTGTCCGACTTGTGAAGGTACAGGAAAAACGTACCCAGGTATATTTAATTTTTTAGTCGAATTTGATTTCTTGTTGTTAATACTTTTAAAATTTTTAATCAAGTATTGGCTTTTTTGTTATAACTGAATTAGTGAGTGTCTAAATTTCATCATTATTTAGACATTAACAAAGAGATGGTGACATTTATTCCTGTTAAAGATAAAAGATTACGTCCTGCACATATGTAAACTTATTTTTTGTTTGTTATCATTACTGATAATGATCATCATCATTATCAACAATGACAATATGATGATGATGATGATGATGATGATGATGATGATGATGATGATGATGATGATGATGATGATGATGAAGATGATGATGATAATGATTATAATGACAAAGATAGCGCTTTTTTATTTATTTAGTAAACTCAAGATTTTCTTGCTTATCTTTTTTCTTATAAGCACTGGAGTAACTACTGTTTATTTCATTTATCCTCGAGATATAGAGTTTTACATAAATGATTTACCTGACCTTAAAAATTTTACATTTACTTCAAGTAGTTCTTCTATGATTTACAAGGTTTGTTTATCTGTTAATTTAAATGTGTTGTGTGCTATTTTTAGGGATAAAATATATCTATATTTTGTGGTGTATTTTTATTATCATTTTGTGTTTGACAATAGTTTTTAATATTTATTTTAAACTAAAATTTAAAGATTTTTTTTTTGTTATTAAATTAATAAAAGAAATATTAACTTGACAGTTCTAATTTTTATATTTTATTATTTTATTCATCTTTATGTTTTAGTTTTTTTTTAGTTTTTTATTGTTATTTTTTTTGTTTTTAGATTTTAATTATATTTTGCTTTTCTAGGCTTGCATCTTTTTTAAAAATAACAACTACTATTCTGTCCATATTTACAATGGAACAGTTCAACTTTCATACAATGAGTTTGTTGTTGCTGTGGCTACAATTCCTCCTATGGTTGTTGATTTAAGGAAGGAAGTAAATGTATGTTTAATCAATATGTGTTCAAATTAATGTTTGTGATTCATTAAGTTGTTTAACATATTTTACTTAATTTTATTATTATTATTATTGTTATTATTTTGTTTTATTACATACTTATTTTTAATATTTTTAGGTGCCAGTCTATTTAGAAGCTGTTTATGATGAAGATGCTGGGAAACATATTAAGTAAGAGTTTTTATAATATGGTTACTAGGTTTTCAAACTTGGTCAAAATGGGTCAAAGTTTTTTTTTTTTAGCTTTACAAATTATATTGTTAGTTCAGAGGTAATTGAAATATAAGATAATTTTTTGTTTAATGTCAAAATTTATGTTATATAATATATATAAATTTAAAATTTAGTATAGATAAGCATTTTGATATGAATTTATTAAACCAAAGTTATTAACTAGAAATTATTTGATCAAATTTTGACAAAAACTTCCACTATAATAGTGATCAGGTGCATTTTAAAGCATGAAGTTATTCAGAGTTTTTCAATACATATATATACAATACTAGCTAAGTTGTTTGTTTTTGCTGTTTGAAACAGATTTATTGGTTACTGCTACTGTTATACTCTACTAGTACTAGTATACTCTACTGCTACTGGTATACTTGTCTGCTTTCTTGTGATTTTTTCAGCAAAACTGGTAAACTGAAGTTTGTTTTTTGGATTTTTGCTTTGCGTATTCTAATGTTGCATATTAATATTCAACCAACTGATGAATACTAAAATGCAAATTTATTAAAGGAAAAAAAAAGCCATATTCAAACTATATTCAAATTGCAAACGTTTTTCACTGATTGCAATATAAAAAATAACAGATCCATAATCAAAAGCTTATCATCTCAATGAAAAACCTACATTAACCCAAGCTTGATAAATGGCTTCAAGAGGAGAGTGCCTGCATAAAGCTACTGGAAGACAGAACAACAATGCTCAAAAATTAGAATAAAGAACTCAAAAATCGATTGAAAAATAGTACAATAGAAAAACCTGCCTAGATCACCAAAGACTGGTGATCAAGGCAGGTTTTTGTACACAGTTTTTTTTTCTATTGTAAACAGAGACTATCAACCTCCTATCAACTTGCCTGAAAAACAACTCAGCTAATATCATTTGCCTCAACTTTGCCAAAGCATTTGATACTGTTGCTCACAAAAGACGCTTAAATTAAGAAGGTATTAGTAATCATCTTGTAGCATGGATCAAATCATTCTTAGAAGAAGCAAAAATTAGAACTTAACCAAATTAAATCCAATTGAAAAGATGTTTATAGTGGTATTCCACAAGGTTCTTTATTAGGTCCACTTTTTTTGTTATCTATATCAATGACTTACCAAAAAAACTAACTAACCGAACACATTTAAATTATTTGCAGATAATACAAAAATCATCATTCAAATTCACAACAACAACTCTATACCAGCTCTTCAAGATGACCTTATCAAGGCATTTGAATGATCAAAAAAATCAAGTTTAACTGTAAAAAGTGTCATTAATGCATATTGGAAAAAACAATCCAAAGCACGATTACTTCATATCCGATTCTAATAATGATAATTTTATGACTTAAGAAAAGTAGATATATGAAAAAGATCTAGGTATTAATCTTGCCCAATCTTAAGTGGAAACAACATGCAGTAAGCTCTGCGTCTTGAATGCAATATTGCTGTATGGTCTCCTTACCTTAAAGGAGATACATCTATGTTAGAACAAGCTAATTCTTTCTCTTAAAAACATGACATATGAAGAAAGATTCAAAAGTTTAAATTTAACAAAACTTTCAACTCAGTGTTTTCATCGTTTAACATGGTTAAATACAACAATGCATCATGTTTAATGGATTGTGTATAATGCATTGAAACACTCATTGTTAAACAATGCATCAAATAACTATCATTGTTAAACAATGCATCAATAAACTGAATCGTTAAACAATGCATCGAAAGAATAAAAATAAAATTTATAAAACAACTAAATTCAAAACTAAAATCTTATTTGGTTATTGTTATTTGCTATTGTGCTACATTAATGGAATAGAAAATTTACAGAAGAAAAAATTGCATATTGTTCACATATTGTTTTAACATGCATTTTCTTCATCTGTCTTTTCTTCATCAAGTTTTTTCAACTTTAGATGATGATAGATTTGTTCTCCTGTCACAACTGATATTTCCAGGTGTTGAAAACACTCATTCAGAGAAAGCTACTGGAATTACCAATATTCTCCTTGCTTGGAGGAAGCTACTGAAATTGCCGATATTCTCCTGACAAAGCGGGCAAGTTTGGGATACTTAAAAGATTGGTTCTTCCAATAATGAAGTATATACTCGTTATTGGCAATTGATGTTGTTGTTAAATAGCTTTTTAACTCCGCCTTAATTTCTGTTATCAAGGAGGTCCTTCCCTCCGGGTTACTAACCACTTTTCCAAATTTTTAGACCTTCAAGCTTTCACAAGAACATCTTAGGTATCCAGTTGTAACAATTTCTTGAGGCTGTGTTTGTGTCTGTGTCATTGTGTCTTGTGTATCATCAATGAGATATTGTGATGTGTTGGGTGAGGGGGTGTTCTCAAACTTGGCTTTCCACATATTGAACACAGGTTCCTTCAAGGATATCTTGGTCATATTGTACCTTTGCCCAATGCAATTCAACCTTGATCCTTTGTAATGTGAATCCAACATGTTTGCATATGCATATTCTAAAACTGTAGTTCCATATTCAGGAAACTTGTCATTCATTTTCAATAAGTATTGACCAGCGAGCTCTTTCATTATTGACCAGCGACCTCATTATTGGATTTAGTAGATCATATAATTTGCAGTTCGTCTTTTAGATCAAAGAGATTTGGAATGACATGGACTATTAAGACCTCGATCTCTAAACTTGCAAGGCTGGAGAACTCTTTAAAATTTTCAACAGTTCAATCATTGTCCTCAATTGTTTAATATCCACTTAATCTTTTATTTTGTTGAACAGCTTTTGTGAAACATCCTTTTCGCAACAATTTTGATGACAAGTAGCAGTTTATTGATTCATTGTAATTGATTGAACTCACTGCTCCATCTCTTTGAGTAACTTTTAACTAGTTTTTTAATTGTAGAATTTTCAATGCTTTGATATTTAGTAAATGCTTTGATTTCTGAGAATGATTGAAGAAGCCAATCTGTCTTTATCAATAAGTATCTTGTTAATATGTCTTATTAAGACATTAAACTAAATAAATTAAAAGTCATTATTAAAAATTAGGTTAACGATTTATGATTAACAATTATTATTTTTTTTTTTAAACAACCTATTAAATTTAATGATTTAAGATGATCAATAAACATAAAACAATCTATTTAGTTTTACGATTATCAATACAATAGGCAATTAGGAACATAATTGTAAATCAAAAAACCACTAATGTAAGTAGTTTTATACCATTTTATATATATATATATATATATATTATATTTTATATTATTTTTTTTTATATAACACATTGTTAATCGTTCAGGTATATTTTTTTTCGATAAACCATGTTTAATGCATTGAGCAACTCATAGCATTCGATGTATTGAACACGATGAGTTGTTTAATGCATCGAACACGATGACCCATCATTAAATGATACATTGCTGCTCCCTAAATAAAAATCAATAAAGTGTAAATCTAACTTTAAATAAAGTGTCTATTGTATTGATAATCATAAAAATGAATAGATTGTCTAATTTATTATTAATTGTATATCCTTAAATTAAATAGGTCGTTTAATAAATTGTTAATCATAAATCGTCAACTTAAATGCCTTTATAAGACATATTGACAAGACACTTATTGATAAAGACTGATTAGCTTTTTCAAGCACTCTCAGAAGTCAAAGGATTTACTAATTATTGAAGCATTGAAAATTTTAGATGTTACAATTAAAAAACTAATTAAAAGTTCCTCAGCCAGATGGAACAGTGAGCTCCAACAATTACAATCAATTAGTAAGCTACTGCTTGTCATCAAAATTGTGGCAAAAAAATATGTTTTACAAAATCTATTCAACAAAATACCAGATTAAGTGGAGATTAAACTGCCCAAGATCCAACCAATCCCATAGTTAAAAAGGTCGCTGATCATTACTTATTGAAAATGCATGACAAGTTTCCCAAATATAGAGTTACAGTTTTAGAATACGCATATGCAAACATTGCATTGGGCAAAGGTACAACATGGCTAAGATATTTTTAAAGGAATATGTGTTCAACATGTGGAAAGTCAAACTAGGAACACCTCCTCACCAACACATCACAATACCTCATTGATGACACACAAGACACAATGACACAGACACAAACGCAGTTTCAAGAAAACAAAATAACTGGACACGTAAGAAGTTCTTGTGAAAACTTGAAAGTTTTTAACAAAGATTAAGGCGGAGTTAGAAAGCTATTTAACAACAACATCGATTGCCAATAACAGATATATACTTTGTTACTGGAAAAACCAATCATTTAAATATCTTAACTTGCAGGAGAATATTGGCAATTCCAGTAGCTTCCTCCAAGCATCTCCTCCAAGCAAGTAGAATATTGGCGATTTCAGTAGCTTTCTCTAAAAAAGTGTTCAGAGAAAGCTACTGAAATTGCCAATATTCTACTGTCACAACAGATATGTCCAACTGTTCCACAGTGACAAGATAACAAATCTATCATCATTCAAAGTTGAAAAAACTTTTTAATATAAAAGAAAACTTAAAACAGATGAAGCAAATGCATGTTAAAAGAATACGTGAACAATATGCAATTTTTTTTCTTCTGTAAATTTTTTAATCCATTACTTTAGCACAATAGCAAATAACAATAACCAAATAAGATTTTAGTTTGAAATTTAGCTGTTTTATAAATTTTATTTTTATTCTTTCAATGCATTGTTTAACAATCCAGTCTAAAAAGGCATTGTTTAATGATGATGGTTATTTGATGCTATGTTTAACGATATGTGTTTTGATGCATTGAACACCATGTATTAAAAACACGATGTATTGACGTGTTTAACAATCTTAAACGATACATTGCCGCTCCCTAATATTTACACATGAAGGCATTTTATTTAGGCAGGTCTCAATTATAGTTCTTAGGATTTAGTTAAATCAAATCTGTATTTTATTAAACCAAAATTGATTATTAGTATTTTTTTTTTCTTGCTCTAAAACAATGTAATAAACAATCAATGGGCTACAATGGGTAGATATTTAATTAACATTTGGGGCATTAATGAATGTCTAATAGGCGTCTTTTTTATGTTACAAAAGTGCGCTATATAATCAAACACCATAAATATTTCCATAAACGCAGAAGTTAGTAGGTTAAATTATTAGTTAGTAGGTTATTGCAGGAATACTTTAATTTTTTTTAAAGTTAAGTTATTTGTCAGATGGAAAGACTTTCGAAAATTTTCATTCAAGTTTCTTTTGAAATTATACTTGCAAAAGTTTACCTTATGTATCACAAAGTGTCATAGGTAGAAAAGTTTTTAAAATATCAAAAATCATGTCTATGCCACCTGCCACTAGTAAAACGATATACAAAAAAAAAGTTTTTGCAAGAATTACTAGCAAAAAGAAACTAGCTAATTCATCCATTTTAAAAGAAGATATTTTGAACAGTTTCTTACAAAGCATTTTGAAATCTACTCTATTCAAATATACTCAAAAATATCATTTAAAACTGTTCATAATAATGTACAATGATTAATACTAATGAGTATCAGTTATTGGAAATAATAAGCATTTAGTTACATAAAGTTGAGTTAATACATTGAGTTGTTATTAGTTAAACAAATTTACGTAATTACATACAATAAGTTACATTATTTAGCGTTATTAAGTAAAACATTTCAATCTTGTTAATATGACCAATTTCAAAAGTTTTCTTCCATAAGTTATTATTTGATTATTAAAAAACATAACTTGGCTGAAACACTTTTACTTACCAATGATATATTTGAACTCTTTGATAAACATGCACTTTCAGTATTGTTATCTGATTGAAGTGCAGTTTAGTTTATTTTTTTTTTATTTTTTTTTTGTTACTTATCAAAGTGCTGCCAATTTTTTGCTAATCAATAAGGTCAAAAACTACTTGGGTTTTTAACTAGTGAAATAGGTGAAAGTTCTCAAGTAGTTCAAATTGTTTTTAGTTAACCGTACTCAAAAATTTAAAACTGGTTACTTACATTCCACGAACTAGATTGTAAAATATGGAGTACTGCAAGGTACAGTCCTGGGTTCAAAACTCTTTAATATCTATATGAGACCACTATAAAAATATCTGAATATAATTAATGTTAAGATTTTTGGAAACTCTGATGATTTGTTTGGCAAGTTGAGTAAATGAAAGTTTTCTTTTCAAAATATTTTATCATTATTTTATAAAAATGAAGTTGTAAAATCCGAATATCTTGCAATACTGAAAATGAAAATTAATTACAAATAATTTATCTTGATATAGACAAAATGTTTTACAGATATCTTGATATAGACAAAATGTCTCTTTATTGTCTGAGCAGTTTTTATTACATTTATTATATCATTGATTTTTATTTAAGAGAATGATTATAATTTTACTTGTTACTAGCTTTTAAGGCTAGTAACAAGTAAAAATAATTATTCTCTTTTCAAGAAAATTTTCAACTTTGTTACTATTTAAGTATTCTAATTCGCTTCTTTACTTTTCTGTAAAAATTAATAAAAAATCTCTAAACCAGAATTTAAGTATTTTAATTCGCTTCTTTACTTTTCTTTAAAAATTAATAAAAAGTCTCTAAACCAGAAGTCAAAGGCAGCAAGGTTATATTAAATTGCAAAGCAACAACCTTAGCCTTAATTTGTTCTGTTTGTATTTTTTTAAACTTATTTGCATAAAAGTAAGTTTGAAAATGGTTCACTAATATTCTTTGTTTCTACAAAAAGTTAAGTCATAAGCTTAAACAACATTAGATGAAATTCACATTTTTAAATGTTTTTTTTGTAATTATTCTTGATAATAAACTCTTAGAAAAAATAGAGTATTAATAATAGAAAAAAATTTTCTGAAGTAATTGCAACTTGTAAAATTTTTAAATAATATAATATTAGTTATGGAAAATGAGGAAAACAACAACAGAAAAATTAAAACATTTTGAGACAACTAAAATAATTGTTTCAGAATTTTATTCAATTGGTGTAAACAAAATTTGAGTTATAAACAAAGATGATCATGAAATTTATGCCTTTTTTTTTAATTTTACTTTTAAATGCATTTTCAACAGTTGAAACTGAATTACTTTTGTTGTCACATTTGTGAAAGAAAGCTGGAAACTTCACATAATTTATTTCTGTGTAAAAGATTTCCACATAAAAAAAATTAAAGCAAACAAGTAGATTTGAAAGGTTAGTTTTATAAAATTTTATAAGATTTATGTAAATAGTAAAAAAATTTTTAAGAGAAACTAGATAATAACAAAAGTGCAAATGAAATAATTAGCAAAGTAATCCTAACTTATCTGAAAATCAAGTCTCTAATTACTGATATCTAATACTAATATGTTAGTGTATCACTGATATCTTATGTTAATACTAATATGTTAGTGTATCATTGATATCTAATGTTAATGCTAATATATTAGTGTAAAAGACTCAATTAAACAATAATTAAATAACAATCAGCAATTTAAAAAAAATACAGTTAATACTAGATTTATAACTAACATTAATTTTCTAGTGAATTAAACCAAAATTTTATTTAACATTTATTTTTTTATAACTTCTATCATGTTTTTTTTTAATTCTATATTCAAGATTACCAACATACATTACAAGTAATATTCTAGTAAAAGATAAATGCGTTTTTTAAAACACAGTTTATATATCTCCATTTTTAAAAAAAACCTAAAGATGGAAGAATGTATTTTGTGTACTGACTTTAAACTTGATGTTGTAAAAACACACATTATTTTTACAACATAACTTGACTTTCCTCACGTTGTAGATTGTTTTAGCTCAAATTTTAATTCATGTGAACTTGAACAATTCTATGTAATTATTTATATTAAGAACAAGATTTTCAAGTTTTGACTTAAAGAAAATATATTGTCAGGAAGAGTAATTAAGGTGTATTTCGGAATTAATTTGTTATATAAATAGGGGCCACGATAAGAGATAGAGAATTGAGAGTTTTTTTTTTCGGGGTACGATAAAGTTACTAGTTGCTCTAGAGTTGATCTTATTGGTATTTGAATGAAAGAAGTTTTCTGCGAATTGTGAAGGCACTAATCCCATTTTATATTTTAGCATAAATAGTATATTAGCATAGATATTGATTTGAAAATTTTTTAGCGCTTTCATTTCTTTTAATAGAGATTTTGTATACACATACAAAACCTCTGCTTCTTTTTATGATATATAATTCTAGAAGTATGTTTCTGCCGTCAATAAAGAAACATTAATTTTGTCTTATGTGTGCTTCCCCAAGCAATATTAGCGCATGTAAGATGACTATGTATAAACGAAAAGTAAAGAATTTTTAAGTTTTTTGTGATAAAAATGGTCTAGCTTTGAAAAGTAAACCAAGATTTTTAGATATTTGAGTGTTGATGAATTTGGGTTATCTATGAAATATTTTTGTCTATAACCAATCCAAGAAATTTAATTGTTTGGGTTCTTTCAAAGTTGTTGAAGTCGATACTTAGAGAGGGAAGAATTGATGGAAGTGCCTTTTTTTGTTGCTTTCAATGAAATAAAATATATTTAGTTATTTGTACGCTTATTGATAACTTATTTGCACTGAACCATATTTTAAGTTGTTGAAGCTCAAGTACATAAAAAGGATAGTTAGCTGATAAACCCATTAATACACTTCAAAATTACGGTAATTAATTATGGTTTAATAATTACTTATAATTATAATACTTTAATTATGATATCACTTCTAGTAAGCTCTAGAGAGCTAAACCAAACAAAAAACTAAAAAAAAAAATTTCAATTTTATTAAGCTGAGAAGTTTAGACCGTGATCCGTGATATAAAAATGTTATCAGTTTTCTTGACCTCTTTTTTCAGAACTACTTTATTTTTTCTAAATTTGCGTTTTAAAGTATACTAATTCTGAATTTGAAAATTTCCCAAGTTTTCCTCCTGCAGTTTTCGAGAAATCTTTGATTTAATTTTATATTATCAAGTGAATCGATTTTTATCGTGTAAGTTAAATTAGTGATCTAAAAACTGTTTTTAGCACCAGCATAAATACTAAATTGTATATAAGTATATAAAATATTTTAAATATATAATCAATTTTATATTCATTTACATATGTATATAAGAGTGAACCGATTTTTATCGTGTAAGTCTAAAAGTTAATTTGAAATATCGTTTTAACAACTGATAATAATTGTTCAATAACTTAAATAATAATAACTGATAATAATTGTTCATTTAATTTTTTTAAATTTATTTTTATTATCTTACAAATAAAAGTTTACAATGGTTGATTATCTGTATTAGAAACAGAGTCACTTGAAATTATTCCATTGTAAGCGTAATCGCTGTCTTCGGTGAATTTCAAATTTTTATTGCTGCATTCAATGCATTGACATAAATCAGAACATGTCAGTTCTGTATTCCGACATGAGCATCGTTTTGTATTACAACCAGTCGCGCATCTACAATTAATAAAATTTTTGTGCAGATTCTAAGAAAGAATCTGCACAAAAAGTGTTCACCTGCAATAACAATAAGGATAAATAATTTTATTTTTTGTAGTTGCATTAAATAGTATGTAGTTGCAGTAAATATTTATTTTGTAATTTTTTGTGTCAAAACAAAAGTATTTTTAGTCAGCCTCCAATCTTTCCGTTTGTTTTGATTGCAAGGCCTGTTGTAAATTAGCTTTGGGGTAGTAGCACCACTTTAAAACATAAACCTTAAAACATAACATTTTTATGTTTTAAGGTTTATGTTTTAATATTTGTATTTTACAGAATAATTGTTTTTGCTTTGTAAAATAATTACTATTTTTTTTTTTTAATTATTTTTTTTTGTAAAATAATTTTTTTTAGCAAAGTCTGCTATAACAACCGAAGTTTTTTTGGGCAAGACATTCAGTAAGTCTAGTTCTTTATTTTTATTTTCAAAGGTTTTGAACAAGCTGTAAAATTTTATTTTAATTTTAGAATGTCGGCTGCTTATTCCAGTTGGCTACATTCTGATCGCATATCGGGGCAGAATTACTACTTTTATGTTGATTGTAGTTATTTGATATTTCCCATGCCTACTAAAAATCCAGTTAAAAAATAATAATAGATTTGTAAATAATCGTAAATGTAAATAAGCTTTTTAGAAAAATATACATTTAATATTTTATAATAATATTTTAAACACGGAGTTTTTAACAAATATAATTATGAAGTATTTCTTCTTGAATTTATATATTTTTTTGTTTAACAGTATGTTCTGTGGCGTAGCTAGGGCAATGCTGAAAATTGGTGCCTCCCTGAAGTAGACATGTGAACTAAAAAAAAACACTTAATGTTTCCAAGTATATGACTATTTTAATTAAAAAAATGCAAATGCAAACTCAATTTAACTCATGCTTCCAATTACGTATCCATTATGGTTCATTTGAATTAGTCATTGAAAGTGACAAATGGTCAGTCAGATCCAATAATCAATAACTATTTATAAATTTGATCTTTCTAGCTTTAACTGCAGCAAATTTATCTATTATGTTGTCAAAGTTTGTTGATTCTAGAGTTTATCTTTCGATACTAAGGATTGTCAAATCAACAAAACGTTGTTGTCCCATTAAAGGTTGTAGATATGAAAGTATAGGCTTCAACTTAAGCTCGTAGATATAATAGAATAAGCTTAGTAGATATGAAAGAATAAGCTTCCACTTGCTGAAGGAACGTTCGTAACTGGCTATTGACACTGCAATTGTGAGCAAGATTTGTAATGCAATGCGTAAATTTGGAAAAACGTAATCTCCGTATGACAAAATAAATTGAAGTAAATCCAGCGCAATTGTTGGTATTGGGCCCCTACGAGATTTAAACAGCGTCTGACAGTCTGCATGTTTAGTAAATAATTCAGCTCCACTGATATCTGTACTGTAATAAATTCCCGAATCCAAACAATGTTGCTGCAAATTTTCATAATTTTCATCACCATCCCTCTTTAGCATAATTCTCACATTGAGAAAGAATCCAAATTTTTCATTGCGATCATTTAATTATCTAAAGCGAGTTGTTAGTTCATGTTGGAAACAATCCAATAACATTTTCAAAACTCTGCTAACTTCATCTTCAGCAGAGAAGCTATTATCTCCAGCCCTTTCACCTGGCATTGTTTGCTGTCGCCTGACTCTCTCAACTTCAGTTCCTTATTCTATACATCTGCTCTTGCTATACTCAATTGCATTTTGGCACAAATGATCACGAAATTCTTTGAGATAATTCTCCAACATTTGGAAATCCATATCAGATGCTGCATCTTTAAAGTTCATTGTGGAATCTTGTAGTCGTTTTTGAACACGGTCGACTTTTGAGGCCATCCATAAAGTACGTACGTAGGTATGGGGGAGGGGGTTACCCAAAAGCGTACGAATGGGTACAAAGGGGGGAGGAGGTGTTAAAGACAGTCAGTACCTACGCAGTTTGACTATCTCTCCTAACTTGATTTTACTTTTTATTTTTATTAAAACATTGAATTTCACGTGTATAACAAATCAGTATTGTATTTTTTTTTCTGACTTAAGTCACTATTTTTTTAATTTCTTTTATAAATGATAAGGAGAGGAAAAAGAAATTGAGCAACAAGTAATTTTATTTTCTATTCGCAACGTAATTTGATTAATAGCAAGATAAGAAAAAAAAGACGTCAAATAAAAGCAAACTTTTTTTTGAATTTTTTTTTTAATTACTGTACGCAAAGTGTTTTATATCATTTCTCTTAAAATGTTAAAATAGGTTGTAACATTTTAAGATTTAAATAAGTACATCAAGTATATTTTACGTTTGAATTTAGTTTAGAGAAATGTTAAATAAACTAAATGTTTTTTTTTTCGTTGTCAATGTTTTGAAATATTTACGTGTTGGGGAAAGGGAAGTAGGGGGAGGGGCTTTATTTTTAAAATAAAGTATTGCGTACACACGCGGAAGAGGGGGTCTTTGATAGTGTACAGTTTTGTACAAATGAGGAAGGAGGGGTCCTAAATCAGTGGTTTTACTGCGTACGTACATTATGGATGCCGTCTTTCCAAGAATGTTGTTGCAGAAATGAAGTAAAACAATAAAATGAAATTTCAGAATATCGTTTCTTGTATCCATCGTCTGGCTTATGTCATCTGAAAGACTTTCAAAAAGTTCAACCAATTCAGAGACTTCTTAAAAAATTGCTTTAACAGCTTCTACTCTTGCACTTCATCTGATTTTCTGCTTCCCGTCCAAAAGTGATCTTAACATAGGATCATTGCGCGGAGACGATGCTAATTAGAAAAGAATTACGGGCGGGCATGAAAAAAGCACGAGAAGCTGGAATGTTTGCGTATATTTCATACGACAAGTTGGCGGTTCGCGAATGGTCTCGAAAACCCACGTAAATATTTTATATTTCTTTTAACGTTACTTTATTTTTATTTTTTATTTATCAATAGTTTTTCAAATTTTAATTTAACTTTTAGAAATGGAGAACAATCTCTCTTATAATATTAATGCTAAAAATATTGTTTTTAGCGATAATAACTCTGATAATCATACTGAAACCTTATTACAAAGTGAGTACTATTTAATACCTGAATCTACTCAATATCTCTGTGAGAATAAGAATAAATTTTCAATATTGCATATTAATATTTGAAGTATGAATAAAAACTTTGAGAACTTTAAGAGTTTATTGGGAGAACTTAATCATGATTTTAAAATAATTTGTTTCACAGAAACTTGGCTTAAAAGCAATGAAACAAATTCTAATTTTGAGTTAAGAAACTATACATCAGTTCATCAAATGCGCGATGTTTGCGTTGGTGGTGGTATAAGCATATACGTTCACAATTCTATTGATTTTATTCAACGTAAAGATCTTAATGTAAACAATACAGGTTGTGAGGCATTATGCGTCGAGATAATAAATAAATTAGCTAAAAATTTCATAATCAATGCTATTTATAGAACGCCAGCTGGTAGTTTAAAAACATTCAAAACTTATCTGCGCACATTCCTAACAACAAAAAATATATTGCAAAAGCATGTTTACGTAGTTGGGGATATCAACATTGACTTACTCAACCATGCCTTAAATAGTGAAGCAAAAACTTTTATTGATATTCTTCTCGAATACAATCTTATCCCAACTATAAACAAAGCAACAAGAGTAACTAAAAAATCATCGACATTATTAGATAATGTTATAACTAACAACTTTCATAATAGCCGTTTTAAAACTGGTATAATCAAGACTGATTTAACTGATCATTTCCCTATATTCTTTATTACTGAGAGCGTTACTCTAAATAATGCTACCCACAAATCAACAGTTCACATGAGACAAATCAATGAAAGTTCCATTTGCCAATTTAAAAATTTATTAAATAATTACGTTGATTGGAATCTTGTACTGCAATCACACGATGTAAATAATGCTTATGATTTATTTCTAAACCACTTTTCTAAAATGTATGATAAGGCATTTCCTTTAAAAGTGAAACTAATAAACTCAAAGTCGGTTGTATCCCCATAGATGACCAAAGGCCTACTAAAATCATCAAGGAAAAAACAAAAATTGTATGATAAATATTTAAAAAATAAAACTTATAAAAATGAAACTAATTACAAAAATTATAAAAATTTATTTGAAAAAACCAAAAAACAATCAAAAGTAAATTACTATGCTAAACTGCTTGAAAAAAACAAAGGAAACCCTCAAAAAACGTGGAGTGTTATTAGAGACTTAATTGGGAAAAATAAAATTGAAAAAAATAACTTACCGCAAAAACTTATTATTGAGGGAAAAATGATTTATCATAAAGAAGTTATTATTGAGAAATTAAACAATTTTTTTCTTGATGTTGGCCCAAACCTAGCAGCGAAAATTCCAATTGGTCAAAAAAAATTTAATTCATATCTTGCAACAACTGATTTAATTATGGAAGAACCGATTTTAACCAAAAGTGAACTACATACTGCTTTTAATAGTCTGAAAAAAAATAAAAGCGCAGACATAGATCAAATTAATGTTAATGTAATTAAATCTGTTTTTGATATTATCGAACCCTCATTATTCCATATTTTTAATCTCTCCCTTAAATCAGGTCTTATTCCAGATAAACTAAAAATTGCAAAAATAACGCCTATTTTCAAATCTGGCGATGAGACCAATATTTCAAACTACAGACCAATCTCAGTCTTACCCTGCTTTTCTAAACTAATTGAACGCATTATGTACAACAGACTTTATAAATATCTATCTGAAAATAAGGTTTTATATAATAATCAATACGATTTAAAAAAAAAATCATTCTACTGACCATGCAATAGTTGAATTAGTTAAGCATATATCAAATGGATTTAATAGTGATTGCTATACAATAGGGGTTTTTATTGATTTATCCAAAGCTTTCGACACAGTAAATCATGAAATTCTTTTGAAAAAATTAGAAAACTATGGTGTTAAAAACCAAAGTTTACTTTGGTTTAAATCATACCTAACTAACAGAAAGCAATTTATACTTAAAGAATCAAAAGACTCAAAAAACAAATTAATAACTTGAGGAATACCCCAAGGTTCTATTTTGGGACCATTATTGTTCTTACTTTATATAAATGATTTATATTTATCATCAAAAGTATTAAATATCTTATTTGCAGATGACACTAATTTGTTTTATTCTCACAAAGATATTACTGTTCTTTTTAAAATATTTAACGAAGAATTAGACAAGATCAACGAGTGGTTTATAAGTAACCGACTATCATTAAATGTAGAGAAAACAAAATTTATCCTATTCCATAAACCTAGTAAAGCCGAGAATATTCCTCTTAAACTACCCAATCTTTTAATCAATAATAAAATAATTAAAAGGAAATTGACTACAAACTTTCTGGGAGTGCTCTTAGATGAAAAATTGTCATGGAAATTTCATATTAAATATATTGAAGGTAAGATCTCAAAAAATATTGCCATGTTATACCGAACGAAACCTTTTCTTAATAACGAGTCTTTAAAAAATTTATACTTTTCGTTTATACACAGCTATCTTTCATACTGTAACATTTCCTGGGGTAGCACTAATCACACTAAACTCAAAAAAATTTATAGTAAACAAAAACATGCTTGCAGGATAGTATTTG